CCAAAAAGTGCTACTCAGCGTGCCTCAACCGCTTCCAGGCCTTCCTCTCCGAGAAGGGCCTAGACGACCATCAACCGTCGGTACCGTCAATTCTCTCGTTCTTGCTGCACCTTACTGAACGAGGCTTGTCGCTATCGTCACTCAATCTCACCTGGCGGCCATATCTTGGCAACTTCAGCGGACAGGAGAAGCTTCCTTATTTAAGGAGAGCTCCATGAGGTCTTTCCTGCGAGGTTTCAACAACCTGCACCCCCCGGTCCGTTCTCCAACTCCGGGTTGGGACCTCGACCTCGTGCTGGCTCGGCTCGCACAACCGCCTTTCGAGCCATTGACGTCGATTGAACTTAGACTTTTGTCGTGGAAGGGGGCCTTCCTGGTCGCTATCACCTCAGCCCGTAGGCCGTCGGAACTTGCGGCGTTACGGGTGGACGAACCGTATTTTGTTGTCCACGAGGACAGAGCAGTTCTCCGCACAGACGTGACTTTCCTCCCTAAAGTCGTGTCCCCCTTCCATGTTAATGAAGACATTGTCCTTCCCTCGTTGTGTCAGTCTCCCTCTACCCCGAGGGAAAAAAGACTTCATATGCTCGATGTGCGGAGAGCATTACTGTGCTATAGGGACAGGACTGCTCAGTCTCAGAGGACTCAGAGACTTTTTGTTGCATATGCCCCGGATAATGTGGGCTTGCCGATCACGGCGCAACGGTTGTCTCACTGGATCACCTCGACCATCGAGCTTTGTTACCAGCTGGCTCGACAACAACCTCCCTCGGTTGTCCGGGCTCGGTCAACCAGGGCTATGGCGGCATCGACAGCCTTCCTCAAAGGGATTCCCCTGGACGCTATTTGCAAAGCGGCCATTTGGAAGAATCCTCAGACCTTTGTGTCACATTATAGACTGAATACCAGGTATACACCTGATATGGCCTTTGGGAGGGCGATTTTGGGATCATGCCCGCCTTAAAACCTTGCTAAGTTTTTTCCTTGTTGTTTGTCGGTACCATGGACTTCCTCGGTACCGTATATTGTTGTGAATGTTATTACCATGTCTTTTACTTGAATATACTGTTTACAGGTGATGGTGAATGTGATTGCACCTATACACTTGATGCCTTTACTGCCTGGGGCGCAGGCAACCTTGCACTATGGCCTAATGGGCTCATTACATGTGGTGTCTTGTTTCGCTATCGACACCTTTACCTTACAAATGGGTTTTGCACTTGTTGAAAAACTGTTTTGTGTAACTACTTAATGTGCCCTCATTGCAATGAGTGTCCTCAACAATGACTGCTTTGTTGTTTCCAAGGGTCGCAAGTTTATGTTAATTGTTTAAGAATGCCCTCATTTATTGAGTGTCTTTCACTGTAGATTGGTCACCCTCACGTGGCCGGGAGGATCACGTACTCCCATAAGCTTCATGCACTGTGCCCTTCTTCGGAAGTGATTGCAATCTATTGTTTGGTAACTGTTTGCACTTAATAAAATTGTTTGGCCCTTGACTTGAATAGTCGGTTTGCCTTCTTCCCGCCTCTGGGACCTGAGCTTGCTAGTCTCCACAAGTGTGCATTCGCAGAGACCACGAAGAAAAATGGTAGGTTACATACCTGTGACCATCTTTCTTCGAGTGGTGCTCTGCGAATTCACACTAACCCGCCCAGCCTCCCCTCTAAGCAAACCTCCAATTTCTCGCTACCGTAGCGGCGTAGGAATTGGATCGGTGTGCGCGGGGCGCCCTTTTATCCCCTGCCGGGGCTGGGCGGGGTTACCGCCAAAACTTGAAAAGTTTTAAAATGTAGAAGTTTCCGTTGGAGCCCGCGCAGGCGCAGTCTCTCCACAAGTGTGAATTCGCAGAGCACCACTCGAAGAAAGATGGTCACAGGTATGTAACCTACCATTATGAAAGAATTCTGTGATAATCCACCCACCAATCTTCTGTAGTTGGGATACAGAAGATTTCTTTGCAATAAAAACCATAAGAAAAATAAATTGTATTGATGCTGTATCGCAGTTCTACAAAAACAAAATAATGGAAAAGGAACATACTGTGAAAGTAGACTTGTGTTTGAAAATAGTCATTGTCACAACAAATCATTGGAAAATCACTTACAAATGGGGAATAGCAGCACACATCCTTCCCATACAATTATGCAATGAACTAAAATATCTTAAAGCAGTGCTTTTGGGTTGGAAAGATTAGCTGTTTACCAAAAACGTTGCCCAGGGGACACCCAACTGTATTTACTCAGTCTTCGAGGAGGCTCTTTTTGTGTCACCGAATGTTTAAGGATATCTACAGTGGCCTGCCTCATGTACAGAGGAAAATTTGTTTAAAGCTACAGACTATGCAGTCACTGTTGCTCATTTTTGGTCAAAAATTATTTAACTGCTTGTGTTTTCTCTATTTTTATGGTTTTATACTTATTTATGCAATGCTTTTGACACTAAATAAATAAATGTGGATGAACTCTTTTTTAAAAAAGCCTCTTCTGGAAGTACCCAGGGCCTTCCACACAGCCATATAACCCAGAACACCAAAGCAGAAAATCCCACAATATCTGCTTTGAACTGGATTATCTGAGTCCACACTGCCATATATTCCAGTTCAAAGAAGAAAATGTGGAATTTTATTCAGCTGTGTGGAAGAGGCCCCAGTATCTACCAGAATACCTTATTGATTGATGTTCTCCATTATTTGAGTCAAAAGACTGAATACTCATAAAAATAAACACATTTTAAAAGAATGTCAGATAAGCTTCTCTCTCTCTCTTAGGCAAAAGTTTTACGACCAGAATGACCAATGGTAACATTCAGCAAATATTCAGGGCTGGAATATGGACACAGAGCCTCTTGGCTTCCCTTTACCAATATTAGGTTGCACTTACTCTGACAATGATCTTTTCTGAGACATGAGCAGCCACCAAATAAGACTGGTCTTGATTGACAGCATATAATCCCGCCACCAGCATAAAGTATCTAAAACAATAATAATGAAAAGTTAAATCATTTCATAAAAGTCAAAGATCTATCTGCAAAATGAAATCCACTATTCTGTATTTATTGTGTAAGCACTGGATTTTAAAACTGTTCATGCTCTTTCTACATATATTTTCACTCCATTTAAATTTCATTTAAATGGGGGGTTGCTTTATTTATGTATTGCAAGACTCATACAACCTTCTTTCATGGATCCAGGTTTTTGGGTATAGTTATGAGTATACCCCAACATTTCTTTTTAGAACAGCCATGTGATAGGCACTGGAAGGTATGTTGTCATTGTTGGGTGTTTTCAGGTTATTCTGATTTCATGTACTAAACTTGATATAAATTTTTCTCAATAAGACAGAAATTGTAGTGCCATAACTACATAGCATAATAGGAATGACAACTCATTGAAGTATTGATACCCAAATGCACAAGATGACCCCATATCTGTGGGATCAGTACCATTGCTTCAATTATCCGCCGCCAACAAAATATGTCCTCCCAAGGCATTTTCTAGGTCCTCCAATTTGACTCTAAGCTATTCTTAGGCCAGAAGTCCTTTATTTCAATAAGTGTCATTATTATCAATGTTTTTGCATACCCATGTGAAGTCTGGAAACATGTTGCTAATGGATAGGGTTTATTAACAATAATTTGTGAGATCTGTATGAGATAAAGTTATTTTTACAAAACAGATAAAGGAAGGAATGGAGTAGGAGATTAGGAAGGAACTTTGAATGTAGGTAAAAACTAGCTCTAAAGAGTGTTTTTTGACACACAAGTACCTTTGATCGGGGTTAGGCTTTCCTTTCTTTCTCATATTATTTGCCGTTGTTTCACTAAAGTGCAATTTTGCCATGGTTACTTTTGTCACCTGGTCTCCTGGAAGATTAATTCTACATCGAAAACGGAGAGAGAGAAAGGTCAACAATTTTCAATGTAACTATGATCTTCCTAATTTGTTTATTTGTAATTGGTTTATTCATTAACAATACAAGGCACAGAATATTTTCCCATCCATTTCCTTGACCAGCTCAGAATAATAACATTTGATATTTTTTCCTCACTTTTTCCCACCATCTCAATTTCCATTGCCTATCTCAAGTCTTCATCCGTTTACATATTGCATTTATGACATGGCATATCAACCACAGGAAAGATGGAAGGTTAGTGGTAAAACAACAATGGTTTTCGCAATTTGTGAATGGTCATTTGTAATACATTGTTATTCAAAATATTCAGAAATCCACATAGGATTGCACCTCATCTTCTCAGTTCCTTACCTTTTGGCATCACTCTGATGGCCTATTCCATACTTTGAATGCTCCTGAGGAGGAAAGTTTCCAATCCACTCTATGCATTGGAATAGTAGCCATATCATTTTTCACTGTAACCATGTTCTAAGAACACGAAGAACACTTATCTCATGGACTACATGAAGCTCCCACTTCACATGTTTACGAATAGGTTGACACTCCCAAAGGTTTAGGTTGAGCATCCCTTATCCAGAAATCCAAACTCAGAATTATCCACATGAGTGGTTGAAATAGTAACACATTTGCTTTCTGATAGTTTCATGTACACAAACTATACACAAAATTATGAAAAAAACATTCTGTAAAAAAATCCCTTCAGGCTACATGGGAAAGGTGTATATGAAACATACATGAATTTGTATTTAGACTTGGAATTCATCTCAGAGACATCTCATTATGTTTGTATATGCAAATATAGATATCTATATAAATTGCAAAATAATAAAAAAACATTCCTGGTCCCAAGCATTTCAGATAAGGGATACTCAGTCTGTACCAGAGAAGAATGGATCTGTCTGTGAATAAAATGTACAGAGAGCATGTACCATCTCCAGGAAGGAAAATCATCCGAAACACAGGCAAAGTGCCTCGAAGATTCATGCAGGGCAGGGTGGTCTTGCAAAGTATAATCGTAATGTTGTCGAAGGCTTTCATGGTTGGAATCCATGGGTTCCTGTGAGTTTTCCAGGCTATATGGCCATGTTCCAGAAGCATTCTCTTCTGACATTTCGCTCACATCTATGGCAGGTATCCTCAGAGGTTGTGAGGTTTGTTGGAAACTAGGCAGGTGTGGTTTATGTATCTGCGTGGGAGTTCAGCCTGCGATTGAGTTTCAGGATCAGGGTGCTTTGGATGTGGGGAGTGATCCCTGTTCAAAGTGTAGTTTCACATGAGAATGTCCGTGAAGATTGTGAGGATAATAGCGTGCTCCCTGAATTGCTACCAGAGAGTTCCCATGATCTGGAGCTTAAAAACAGCTCAGCACCAGGTGCAGAAATTAATGAGCAAATAGATAGACGGGAGGAGATTAGTCAAAACAGAAAAGCCGACCAGTGGCTTCGGCGTCCTGCCAGACTCCAAGAGAAAAAGATACGAGATTCTAAGGAAAAGTGAAACCAAATTCTGAGTGCTTGGAACATAATTAACGAGGAGATAAAAGTCCCAAGTACAGGATATGTAGTCAGATGAAGCATTGTTTGGAATCAAGTCAAGATATTGTCCTTGTTTCATGGAAGCTTTGCTTGGAAAATTCAAGTTTAAGTGCCTTTTGTTTCAGGTTTTGATTGTTGGATTCTATGACTTTATATTCAGGCCTTGGATTCATGTTTCCTGGTTTCTTGGATTTTATTAGAGAAGTTTTGACTTTGTTTTCATGGACTTTGCTGTACATTTCTCCCTGGACTACTTTGTTCCTACCTATCTTCTTACCTAATTGGGTTTACCTATTGCTTTAAAGTGCTTTTTACTTTACTACTTTTTAATTATCTAAAATTGTTTTCCTACTTAACGGTATGGTGTTTAAAGTCAGAGGGCTTTTCCTGTTCTGGAGTACAACAATCTGTGCAATGTCCAGGGTGTGAGAAAGAACTTTTGACTGCAAGTGTGAATGTTGCAAATGGCCACCTTGATTAGCATTTAATAGCCTTGTAGCTTCAAAGCCTGGCTGATTGCTGCCTGGAGGGATCCTTTGTTGTGAGGGATTCCACAGATATATAAACCTCATTTGCCTAGTTTCCAACAAACCTCACAATCTCTGAGGATGCCTGCCATAGATGTGGGCGAAACATCAGAAGAGAACACTTCTGGAACATGGCCATACAACCCAGAAAAATCACAGCAACCCATACAATCTTAGTAACCATATATAGAACAGAATTTATCACCTCAACTAGGAGTAACACAACAAAGTGAAAGCAATGTCCCACATTACTGAGAACTTGAGACAGCAGTATTTACTGGTAATAGTAAATTTTAATAAACAGCATGTTCCTTTTACTAAGACAAGAAATATTTTTCGGAACTATCGATGATGCAAAGTTAGGTTGCTCAGCTCTGTATTGGATTACAGTTATCATCAGGAGAAGGTCAAAGTGAAGCTAAACTGAACATGAATGCTGAAACAACACAGAAAATTGAACTTACCACTGCTTATATTTCAAAATCTTCATGTCATTTTGTGTGAATATACCTTTGCTCATATTCTGTTGATTAGATCCAACTAGAGTAGATTTATTTAATAACGGGTCAATGAATCAACATGTAGGAAAATCCTGGTGATATAATGAGTCTACTCTAATTGAGACTAACAATAAGACAGAGTCCATTGAGTTTTCACTAATATTTTAGTGAATTCAGTCATTTCTTCCATGTACTAAAAGGGATCTTGCAGCACATCAGAGACTAAGGCTGTATCTACACTGCCATATAAAGCAGTTTCAAAATGCAGATTAACTGCATTGAACTGGATTATATGGCAGTATAGACTCATATAATCCAGTTCAATACAGTTAACCTGCACTCTGAAACTGGATTATAAGGCACTGTAGATCCGGTCTGAGTGAGAGAATGAAGTTGGTAGTATAAACCCTCTTAGATGAAGTCAACTCCCTCAGAATCTCTTCCATGTGTTTATAATACACTAGAGTCTCGCTTATTCAACCTTCGCTCATCCAACGTTCTGTATTATCCAACGCAGTCTGCCTCCCACCTAGATCAATACATTGCAATGTTTTGGTGCTAAATTTGTAAATACAGTAATTACTACATAACATTACCATGTATTGAACTGTTTTTCCTGTCAATTTGTTATAAAACATGATGTTTTGGTGCTTAATTTGTAAAATAATAACTTAATGTGATATTTAATGGGCTTTTCCTTAATCCCTCCTTATTATCCAACATTTTCGCTAATCCAACGTTCTGCTGGCCAGTTTATGTTGGATAAGCAAGACTCTACTATAATTAGAAAAAGACAAAAAGCGAACTGTTGATGAGGATGAATTGGTTAAACGTTCATGTTGGAAGGGTAGAGACCACTAAGAGAAAATACATTTTGGGGGATGAAGAGAGGGTTAGGGGATTGCATCTTGCCTACAGCAAACCTGCATGTTTCTTGATTTATGGCTTTGTTTGGTCTGCTTGTCCTTTTTCACTCATATATTTACATTTAATTCATTCCAAATTCATTATTTCAACATTGGAGGGTTGTGGGAATGTGTACACCTACATCCAGATTTATTAAGGAAATTGTATGTTTCTTTACTTACTTAACAGGGGAGAAAATCTTTTTGCTTCGGTCAGATTGAGATTGTTCAATCACAATTACTTGATTGGGGGCATCCACCTATGAATGTAATAAAAGCAAAAAATCTTTTAAGACAGATGTCCAGATCAAAAGCTTATGTTTTTCCTTATCTGTTTGGATGGAAGCTGTCTTACACCAGAGACATGGTTTAGATCACTGTTGTTTACTCCAGGATGTGTTCAGCACATCTAGAGGCCAATTTTGTATCTCTTGAACCTGCTATGAACTATATCCCCCACCCCCAACTCCAAACTTGCTCATGGTCCATCAGCAGAATGTGGCAATCCTTTCGGATGAAGCATGTTCTGTTTGTTTTACGTGGCTCTTAGCAGTTCCCACCAATTTGATGCCACATTTTGGGAAGAGGAGCTACAAAACAGCACTGGACCACCCTTATAACTACAGCAGGTGGTCTCAACCTGTGCTCAGTGGACCACCAGTGGACCACAAGCATGAAAATATGGTCCAGAGCCTCATCATTACTACACTGTTGCCTTGAAACCACATGGCAACAAGAGCAACTGATCTTGCAAATACCCTCTTATAGTGCTGAGGCAACGGGGATGTTGGGAGGGGAGGCTGACTACCCACAAAAGATTACTTAGTAGCACATCAGCTCTAGATTATTATATATGGTTTTCTGTGGGGTGAATAGATGACAACTACTGGATGGCATATGTTGTGTATCAGAAACTTGAGCTGATGTGATCTATCCGATGCAGTTTTCTGAATCAGTACCCCAAATAATCAAACCGAATCTAAAGTTGACCAAAAAACAAATTTGTAACCCCTTTGGTACTAATGTTGGTGAATGGTCCCTGGTCAAAAAAAGTTTGGGAACCACTGATCTACAGTGTTTCGTAATGGCTCTCTATGATTTCAAGCAAGGATTTTTCATCTTACTCAAAAAATGTCAGGGATTGGATTCGGGACATTTGGCATTCAAAACAACATATTCTATCACTGACTTTCCACTTATGTTTTTCTTACTCTGGGCATTTGCAACTGGCATTTGTTTACTTTATAGTTGTTTCATTTCCAATTGTAGAGATCGGTCTATGACTTTAGCAATGATTATGTATGTATATACATATATATATATATACACCATTGACGTATACCCCTTTGCTTGGAACCAAAACCCAGTGCATATCAAGGTTCCACTGAATAAATAAAATATATCCTTATGTATGCATGTGTATGTGTCTATTTGATAAACAAAAACATTTTTTTTAAAAACACAAGTCATAGAAAAATTAACAAACAAATAAAAATCCCAAGCACCCTATAGCAACTATTACAAATCTAACAGGGCCAATTTTTTGTGTCAGGAGTGTCTCAAGAAACTACAAGTCACTTCTGATGTGAGAGAATTGGCCATCTGCAAGGACATTGCACAGGGGATGCCCGGATGTCTTACCAAGCTGGAGCTAACAGATGGTAGCTCACCCCTCTCCCCAGATTTGAACCACTAATCTTTCGGTCGACCAGTCCTGCCAGCACAAAAGTTTAACCCATTGCGCCACTGGGGGCTCCTAGCAGGGCCATTAACCAGTGTTATCAGTCCTGTGAAGTCCTTAATAGAAGGCTAAGATCACAATTTTCCTACATTTCCATAGGAATCAATGTTAGAGAAAAGGGAATAATAAACACTGAGGGAGAAGACATAGAGGCACACTCACCTTTATTCCAAAAGCCTTTAAATAGAACATTTCCACAGGCTTCAGCCCCACGTGGGTTTTGACAAATGCTGGATTTCCAACCACTCGAATATAGACCGTGATCTGGAAGTGATTTTTCTTCTGACAGACAAAAGCATCATCTACTGCTGAGAAATTAAATCCTTTGTTTGTTACGATGTGATATCCCACATCTGGGCTATAAAGACAAGAACCAAAAAAATTCTGTCAATGGAACATTCCTTCAGATATAAAAAATATAAATATTTTATGTTTTGTTTGATCAGTTTACACACTACTTACATCTAAAAATATCTCAAAATCTGAATATTATGAACTAGTTTACATTGCTGAAAGAAATTTATAGATATGGTACCCTAGTAACCTATATACATGCTTTCTTTAACACTAAAGGAGTAAAAAATCACCGTATACATCACAAGACATAGAAGGGGGGTCCTGGTACATATAATGCTCAATGAAATGGAACTGAATACTGTTCGGTTATCTTGTACCACCCTTTCTAAAACAGTGATGCTATCAAAGGGTTTTGGGACTTAGGACCTCATCACATTGGGGTCACAATTGAGGGCAATAGGGGGGGATTCACCATGGATCGTGGTGAATTCAGCAGGAGGCAGGGGGAACCTGTCACCCCACATTGCCCACATTGCCCCTCACCTCATCCCAACCGGGGGAAGCATTGTTGCCTGGCTTCCACCCGTTCTCTTTGCAACAAAGGAAGTCTCCCATGTTTCTGGTACTGCCTTTTACAACAGTTCAACCTCACTTCAGGTACAGAACCCTGCCAGAACTACATTAACATCATGTGATGGGATCTGACGGGCTCCGTGCCTGAAGTGAGGTTGAACTGTTGTGGGATGGGCAATTTTACCTGTCTGATGAGGTCACCTGTTCAGGATGCTGTTTTCAGCCTTACCACCAATATATGTGTTCAAGACCACTCATTGGAAATTATGGGGTATGTAGCAGCAGGGCCGTAGCCAGAAAAAAATTTCGGGAGGGGTTGAAATTTTCGGGGGGGGGGGGCTCAACACCACACAAGAGTCCAGAATGTAAACAGAAACACATTAAAAGTATAGGCAACAAAGCAGGAATAAAGAAAGTAAATGTATAACCCAACAAGGTTTACTAATAGATC